TTCTAAGTTAGCGAAAAAATATTCCGTACCTTCAGGGGAATTTTGTTTTTTGTGCACAAAACTGAACGGAAATTAATGAAAAAACTGTTAAACTTTGAATATTTGCAAGTTCTGCTTCCGGACTGTGGGTTATGGTTCTAAAAGAGACGTGTGTGTTACCTGTTCCATCAGTAAGTCATGAGGAACCCAGCAGGTTGTGATGCTGCGGGCTCCAGCCTGTTTACTTTTATTCTTAGTGCCATTGTGGCTCAAGAACCAACATAGAGTCTTGGAAAGTCTGGAAATGTAGGGAATTGAATTGTATCATTTCCAACAATGAATAATTCCAAAAAAGAAACAAAAAAAGCCTTTGTTTTTCCCATATATTGCAGCTAAAATTCTGAATTTGCTAGGGTTTTTTTTTCATTAATTCCAGTTAATACCATTAACACTAAAGCTGAACTTTATGACAGATGGATGCAAACTGAATTTCATTGCTTTGTGACATGTGCAACGACAATAAAGTGAATTCTGTTTTATTCTAACTGAACCAAGAGAAATGCTGTCTTAGTCAAAAAATATTTTGTTTCCTTTTTGGCCTCTGTCCAGTCAGAGTTTTAACTCAGTCTGGTTCATATTTCAAACAAACCTACTCACACATAACCAAAGTGTGTTTTTTTATATTTACATGTTATTGCACTACACAACATTCTTAAAGGCTACTTTGAGTTTGTTTTGAAGAAGTGTTCTTTAAAAATTTTAGGTCAGCGAGCTAACAACCAATTAGAAACGGAGTCTGTATCGTAAAGGAAACCCGTTGTGAAATAAATAAATGCCTCAACAGTTCATACACTCATAAATCTCAAATCTAGTTTCGCATGAAATGGTTGTTTACACTGAAGAAGCCATTTAAGGGCTGTATGATTATTGCTGAGTGACTGATCAATAACAGGGTTGTGCATCTGGGATCTGTGGTAGGTACAACATGTGTCCCAGGACGCTTACAGGGATCCATACAATAATGTTGCATGAGGTGATACTGAAGGTGATCTTTCACAAACGGGGCTTGCTTCATATTTCCACTCAATTTCAATAACACCTAGCTCAGAAGTAATAAATCAATGGGGGCCAGTGGGCATTATTAAAACATGCCGGGCAGCAGATGTGCTTAGCAGTCTGTCAGTAACTTAGTGCTAAGCAGAAAAATATTGTCTACATCATGAACAATGAAGTAAAACTAAAGATTATTTTATCTATTTAAAAAAGTCACATGCCGCAGTAAGGATGAGCAGTCTCAGAATTATTGTAGAGTTAATCATGAGAACTGAATCTGTTGGATTAGGTGAAAATTTCAAAACAATATTCAGAAAATACCTTAAGGCAAATGATAATAGTACCACATTAAAGCATCCAGTCATCCATCTTAGTTCCTGGTGAGGATAGTTTTACAATTTCTTATGAAAAAACTTTGACCTGTTCATGGCAGAATTGCTTTCATCCAACCATATTTGTTGGTTTTTGAGCAGCACTTGCCTCTTAAAACTGTTGCAGCAGCTCAAACTTTTCTTTGACATGGTCACTCCACAACCTTTGCATTGAACCAATCAGAGAGAAACTTTCTGGTGTGCTTTGGATTATTGTCCTGCTGCCTAATCCAAGGGTGATTGACCTTGAAGTCACCAACCGATGGTCGGACATTCTTCTTCGAGATTTTCTTGTTGTCACTTAGTATTGTTTACTGAAAAGATGGGACACACACTTTCTGAAAACTTCCTCTTTCGTCTCGTCAGTCCACAGAGCACTTTCCTAAAAGTCTCAGATTATTAGGATTTTTAATTTTGCCCAAGATGTGACGTGCCTTTTGCCTTGCTCAGGAACAAAAGGCACGAAGCAAAAGGTTAGCCTTTTGTAGCAAAAGGTATCCCTTTTACAATGGAAGAAATAAATCCTGGAGGCATGGAGGCCAGATCGCCCAGGTTCTTTCTCAATGTTGAATGATGAACATCGAAGAACTTTAGAAACCTGTAAGGGGAAAGTCCTCTTTATCTGCATTTTCTATGGATTTGAAGGTGTATGAATACTCTTGCATGTGTCTGATCTCATTTGATTTTTATAGCCTCATGCCTGTTTTATGCTAATTAAATTAGCTTTATTTTCTGCTGGCATAATGAATTCAGACTTTTTGAGTCAACATATTTTAGGAGCTACTCTCCCCATCAGATTAAAAAAAGTGTCTATACGCTTCATTCTCAGCATTATAAAAGCTGAGTGGCTGTAGAGTGAAACCCTCCTGTCTCTCCAGGAAATAACCAGGATACTACATTGTCTTTGTGTTTCCATTTGCATTTGAGCAACAGACGGATATTGGCATTAAAAGCTTCCTCGCTCTCCTGGATTCATTTCATTCTCCCCATTTCTTGCCGTTGCTTTGGAACGGAGGAATTGCAACGAGAAGCAGGACCATTACACAAAACAAAATGGTCAAGAAATAACATATTTTTCAGAGATCCGAGCCAATGCAATCAAGGTTGCTTCTGTTATTTTCTTTTCTTTTTTTTTTGCCCCTGAAACAGACAGATGTTGCCGTAGCGGAGGAGTCTGTAGGAACCCGTAGGAGAAAGAAAAGAAACAGCAGGCGCATTGTGCTTGTGTCAGGGATGTACGTCTAATCGTCTTTGTTTGAGAACATGGTAATGACTGTAAGGTGGAGGTGGCTGCCACTTTGGATCGTCACACTTTCTGCCTCCTAAACTGCCAAGCAACAATCCTCCAAAGATCAGACTGATTCTGTGCACCGTCGGAATGTTTTCAGGAACTTTAAGGATGAAGAATGTGCTGCGAGCCAGACGAGACGAGAAGCTGAAGCGTAATCTCAGCCACAATCTCAGCACATCAGAGCCCTGACTGTTTTTGAGGACAACGCCCGGTGGAGGGAAACTAACTCCATCTTGGCATGTTGCTAGGCGATGCATTAATATTAATGCTGTCTTTTTCCAGAACGTGTTCTTGTCTCTGCCCCCCCTTGGGAGAAACTGAGGCTTAAAGATATCTCCATCTCACTGATACTTCTTTTATCCTGCTTAAAACTCATATCAAAGGTTTTAATTACATTCTGCTAATGTAGCGCTGCCGAGCTTTGTTGAGGGAGTCGCAATTGCCCTCTGAGTTTCCGGTTGGCTCTGTCGATAAGCTCAACTTTGTTTAATTGAAAAATGTGGACTATTTTCTCGTGTTGTTTGAACCTGCGTGCAGGTTGAGCCTAATCTACTCAACTTCATATCTGATTCTGAGGCAGGCTTCAAACACCTGAATGACGGGAGGAAGAAACAGTGCAATGGCTCTTTTTTTCTTTCTTTCTTTCTTTTTCTTTCTTTCTTTCTTTCTTTCTTTCTTTCTTTCTTTCTTTTTTCTTTCTTTCTTTCTTTCTTTTTCTTTCTTTCTTTCTTTCTTCACCTTTTTGAAAATCATTTTACCCAGAGGAAGTAAATCTGTGCTGTTGTCTGCCCTCTGCCTCACCCTTTCCCTCTGCCGGGCTTTTAGCCCAGAGTCTTTGTCTGGGACCTCGATGCTCCTCCCTGCTGCCCTCTCTGCAAAACCATTTTCCTGCCACTGAAACACAGATGTTATCCATCTGATTAAACGTTCAAGGTTACGTCTCCCAATACATCAAAGTCCCACCTCTGCTGAAAGAAGCAGCGTGACAGCCAGTAGTTTTGGTAGCCTGGAGGTGGAAGTGCCGGTGTCCTCCCATTCATTCTGTTTTTTCACTGACACTTTATGTGTGCTTTGAATTAAAATTTGTCTTCATGCAATGTTTTTGCTTGTGTACCTTCTCTTATGCAACCAGATTTGCCAATGACAATATAGTAGAAGCAGTTCCAAAATACTCAGATCACTTTATCATTCTACAACCACAACCTTCAATGACTTCGCTGGAATTTTGAACACTAATTAGCACATAAGTGGAATGAATATGAGTATTTGCTTACGAAGGCTTTTACAAAAAATATCAACCAATTCACCTCAGAATTGGTTGATAAGTAGAATAAGTAGAATCCACATCCAACTGTTCTGGGAAGGTGAATAAAAAGTCTAATGAAGACCAGGGATCACAGCAGGTCAGCAAGAGTATGGCACAATGCCAAACCATGGCTGTCCATCTAAACTGGCCAATCAGTGAGAGCATTATTCAGATAAGTCGCCAAGATGCTGAAGGTATATCTGGAAAAAGTGTTGGAAAAACTGCTGGAAGGGCATCTAACCTCTGGGGAAGGAGAAATCTATTTTCAACTCCTGTCTGTAGTTTGCATTGAAGGTTTTGTTTTTGGGTAGCCAAAAACAAAACCTTCAGTAGTACCGTGGGATTCATTTTGTTTCTCAGGTACAGAGAAGCTGGTCACAGTTAACAGGATGATGGATGGAGCTAAATATAGAGAAGACCTACCAGAAGTTGCTCAATAGCTCAGAGTTCTAGTTTGCATGTTTTCCTTGTCTTCCAAATAAAAGCCAGTAAATTCAATAAAAGACTTTGAAGACTGAGACCATAGAGTACACTAGCATCTCAATAACTGACAGAGGATTACCAGGTAACCTGTCTTGCAAGATAATGCGCAAACACCTAAACTTCTAAACAAAGGAGCTTGTGATCTTATTATTAGAACTGATGAAGTTTTTAATTTCTTTTGCCAGATTGAACGTTAAACAGCTGTTCAATCCGTGGACCTCTTACGGATGCTAAGTTTCTTGTGCTGGTCAGTTTCTTTGGAGACTGCAGGTCACTGTGGGTGATCTGCAGTCTGTAGGTGATCATGTCTTTAATCAGATGGCTAAAGGGGCAACATTAAGATTATAGAAAAGATACACCTCTAAAGTGTTCAATTTAGTAGTGGACGAGTTCAAAACGGTCATTAGAGGGTGTAAGTTTCAGTGTCAGAAGTTGCATTTTCGTTGATTACGTGAAGTGGAAATTAAAGTCTCGACTTTCGAGTGATGATTGTCCTTTTATTTTTTCTTACTTCCAGAGATCGAAAAAATCCAGAGAGATGAGGGGAAGGAGGAGGAGAAGTTCATCGACGTTGTCATCAACAAGAACATGAAACTGGGCCAGAAAGTTTTAATACCAGTCAAGCAGTTTCCTAAGGTAAGTGACATAGCAGCGCCACCAGAGACGACTCCGACAAAGTGTACAGATGGAGAATTTCGGATTGTGTTATATTTAGATAATGAAGCCAGCTCGAGCAGGCCTGCTTTTGATTCCACCTTCTTTCCAACAGCCACTTGACACTTTCTGACGGTATTTTATTTCATTAGATGCAGCACGTCTGCAACATTGTCGGCTGACAGAACTGGGGTACAACTGAGTTAAGATGTTACTTCCTGTCTTGGAGAACTACAGACATTTTTTAAACACTCACATCATGTAGATACAAAACATAGCTCTAATGCTCTGACCTTGGACAAAGGTTTTTTGGCCATTTTCAAGATAGTTGGCCTGCAGCCTTAAATAAAGAACAAAACTCAAAAGCGTTTTCTCGCTGTATCTGTAAAGTAGATTGTTTCCTAAAACTGAAACATATTTTTGTAGTTAAAATGAAATAGTAAAAGCTTGTTAGCAAAAAAAAAAAAAAACCTCCAAAACAATTTGTCATTAGTAGCGGGTTGAAAATGTTCCGTTTCTAATAATGCTCGCAAAGTGAGAGCATTTTGAGGGACAACAGTGATTTTACAGACAGCACTTAAACCTCACTTGCCATGAAGAGCTTTCACAAGCACTGGAGTTCTTTGGGCCCACAAGCTCTTTGCATGACAGGGATTTCCCACTGGGAGCACGATTGGGAAGGCTGGTGTAAAAGTGAGAGGGCTGCTCTTAGACAGGGGACATCACTCAAGTTTTCACCTCAGTTCTCCAGGGGCTCAGACGGCAGTAACCTGCAGTATGTCAGTGAAGGGGAACGTGGAGGGAAACGGCGCATATGGACAAAACTCTGAACCTGTATCACTAGCTCTAGGCTAGGTTTCCAAAGTAGATAGCCTCTCCTCATTATAACTGAACCAGGATACAGAGCATAGCTGTACCACTCTCAGTTTAGCTTATTAGTTTGCAAAAGTTAGTAATACTGCAGTTGCAATAAAGAAATGGGATCACATCTACCACCATCCCATCAATGGGTATCTGCCAGGCATATCAGTGACGTAGAGAGATTACATCGCCTGAAGTAAATTACTGCCGTATTTTTTTTGTCTGCATGGACACATTTTGACCACAAGCTCCACCAGGCTGCCACAAATATATATAAAAAAAGTCAAATTATTGAGTGGCATGAAAGCCGCAAGTCTTAACGTTCCATGTATGTCACACATCTGCTGCATTGTTTTTATTGCATGAAAGTGACTCAAATGTCACATCAGTGACCCTATAAACAATTTACTGAACCTTTTGCAGACTATTGCGCCACAGAGTCAAGATGGCGTATTTATATCCCAGTAATACCTTTTGATGCATATTGTACACATACTAAGAGTCAATTATGCCTCATTTCACTGCTTTGCTTCCTAAATACCAATATTTGCATGTTTGGTCCTGTCTTCAAATTGACAAACATTACAGAATTTTCTAACTAGAATAAATTCAGACATGATGGTACTCAGAGTGACTCCAGAAAGCAGCTTCCCGACCTACTTTCTTCTTGAGAACATTAAACATTCCAGAACATCCGTCATATGTCTACACACATACACATGCACACTCATGTAGTACTCATTCTTTGCGACACAATACCCTCTGTTTTCTTTGCTTTGATTCTGTAATTTTATTTTCCTTTCATTAATGTATCACACCATATATTTTCCACTTTGATATTAAATAAAAGCAAAAAAAAAAAACATTTCAGAACAAGGGACTATTCTACACCCTTCATCTCAATATATGTGCTCTATTCAAAATAAAGATGTACTACAGAATTATTGCATTTGATGGGACTTTACAAGATGTTTGTCATTTCTTCACATTTACACCACCATAAGATGCATACAGGGTGAGAGACAAAAGTGTTTCAACAGAGGCTTTAGTCTGATTTGTTGTTTTTTTTTCTTTTCTTTATCAGACTATCTATCCATCTATCTGTTTTCCATTCCCAGTTGAGCCCATTTAGGATTGGGAGATTTGCTTTATCATCATATATGACTAAATTCAGGCACCACCAGATCATTTTATGGCAGACTTTGCTGTGACTTAAATACAAGAAGGTTTGTAGTTCAGTTTATTGAAATAATGACGCTCTCCAACCAAGCACCTTAAGTGGGTAATTTGTTTTGATACATCTAAAAAAAAATTACTGGATTCCAGTCAGGAATCCAGGGATTCCTGACTGGATTTAACATTGTTGTTTGAGCTGTGATAGCAACCCTGTGCTGTGTTCTGCACACTCTGGTCGTAAACAAGTCCCAAAATAGATTTTCAAAAGGAATTCAGAGAGTACAAACCAGCCCGGTGTAAAAGCTGTCTGTTGACGACGAACTTTAAATCCATTTATACATCAGAGGACGTCATTGCTGAAGAAGGCTTGGCAGTGTGTAACAGGAAATATTGATTTCTTTTTAATATGTATTTTTGTGTCCCAATGTAATGTTGATTTCTCATTAAAATGTGCCAAGACTGCCATTCAAAGCTAGCAAAAATATATATGCTATGCTGAATTATGTTGCTGAAATTGATAAAGGGTAGAAAGATTTGGGGAACTAAACTGTTGATGTTTTTTTTCCTGTTGATCCCAACACTGTTATTTGGTCCTCAACTGTTGGGTTGAGGATCCTCTTGAAACAGAATAACTCCAAAAATATAATTTCAAAGTCAACAGTTTAGTTGTTTCTTGGTGTTGATGGCCCTTTAGTCACTCGTATTCAACACGTCATGGAGCTCAAATTAATTGTCCGAACTAATCCTGATGAGCAATGACTGTTGCGCGACACGCAGTGTTATCTGAGGCTGATCTGGGTCTCCTAGGTTCACTGCTAACCCGATTTGCTTTGACAGCTTTGATAAGTAGGGCCACTAATACGCTGTTTAGAGCTTCAACAAGCCACCGAAGGAAGACAAATTCAATTTGTTCCTTCTGACAGGTAGCTGCGGCAAGAGGGATAGGTCTGACTTGAATAGGTTTTTCTCCTGAGCTGCGAGCATCACCTCTTGGCTTCTGGCATTGAAGTGGCACTGGCATTTTCCAAACAACCATTTAGAAGAAGTTAAATCCATCCTCTAGAAACATGGCTGTTTATCAAAAACGAAGCAGGCAAGGACACCAGGCGGCTCGTGCTCGGCTGCCAACTGTGTGATAAAATAGAGAGTTGAATTTTTGGGGGGATGAATTTACAGACTTTTAAAGACATAGAATTTTTATTTATTTATTGTATTTTACTCTAGAGTGTGTATTAAATTCTTTAAACCATTAAAAACACCATCTCCAGAAACCATTTACATTCAGTACAGTAGAACGTGACTAAAAGTTTGATTTATTTAACTAATTACACTCAAAAAGTGAAGCTCAAATATTATAGCTGATACTTTTGCATATTTTGGTAGTTTCAGTCTATAGCTAACCCAAAAGTTTTTAAAACAAATCTGAATATTGCACAAGAGCAAATAAATAAATTAATAAATACACTTTTCCATACAAAAATATCTAGTGAAAAGTAGGTCTTTGCAATGTACAGCCTATCAAAACTCACCATAGTCATCATAGTAGGTCTTGCCAAGTCCTGCTGGAAAATGAAAACAGCACCTTGATTTTGACAATAGAGGGAAGAATGCTCTGACTACAATAACATGACCAACATCTAACATGGTCCCCAAATCATCACTGACTCTGGAAACTTCATACTGGACCTCAAGCTGTGTATACTGTCCCTGCCCGATATTTATCCAAGTTCTGTGAGCTTGGCTTTCAAATAAAATGATAAATTTACTGTTATCTAGATTTTGCACCACTGAGCAGCAGTGCTCTCTTTTTGTCTGCTTAGCCCAAGTCAGGAGCTTTTGATGTTTCTGCCTCTGCCTCAAAACTGTGAGATGCTCTTTGTCTCACAATCTCATGACAGCTGTGTGTGATCTCATTGATTGAGCACCTATATGTAAAACACGCTTTTATTTCAATATTTGCTTCGACACAACCCTAGAAAAATAGCTTCTTTACTAATAACCTTTTGGGTCATACTCTCTTTGCACTGTGATCGAAGCAGCCTCCATCTCTGATCCTGCCATAACATACTATTTAATCAATTACAAAAAGAAAAAAAAAAAAGAACGAAAGATTGAGAGAGTCTACCAAAGTATTTATTTGTGTAGCACATTTCAGCAACAGGGCAGCTCAAAGTCTTTTACACCATAAAAACACCGGTCATCAGCTACAATGACAACAAACATTACATTTTGTCAAATGCTACCATGAAAATGATCAAGCAAATACACATTAAATATATTGATCAATGTTTCACTTCGGCATCTCTAAACAGATGGGCTCTTAAGGTTTTTTTTTTAAATCTGAAAGTCAGGGTTTCATCTGTTTGATATTTTTTTAGGCAGACCTGTGAGGACACTGTAGCTGTAATATCCAGTACGACTGAAGATAAATACGTGGATGAGTTTCTCTAGATCTTGCTGAGACATTAAGCCTGCAAATGTCCTTCGGGTGACAGAAGGCTGACTTTGTAACTGTCTTTATATGGCTCTGAATGTTCAGTTGTGAGTCTATCACTACACCCAGATTGTAATACCTCTGAGTCTGAAACCACTTTCCTAAACCAGAAAAGTTGGATTGCTTCCTCTAGTTTGGGGTCAAGTCAGTGAAATTGATGTTTGGAATAAATAGTTCTTTTAACGAGTCTACATACGCATTCTAACCACCTCTGCAATGCAATTCCAATTTTGACTATTGTTGTTGAAGAACTAAGACCATTTGGCTTTTTTTTAAGTCTGGTTGCGTTGTCGGATCGTATCTACTTTCCCTGGATCTCTCTCCTGAAGAGCAGCATTAACACTGGAAGAACAACATGCTATTAGTGAGGCACACAGAGTCCCACTGGTTTATTTCCAGTGCAGTTTGTGGGTTTCTCTCCTCTTGGAGAGATGATTTATCCCTCTGCCGT